CACAACACTTACAGTGAAACCTTATCAAACCTTAGCCTTAGACCCGAAAACCGACAGCGTCTGTCAGGCATAGGCTGATCACTACTTGCCTATTAGAAAATGATTACGAAACAGATACACAAATTTGAGGTCCACACTGAAAAGGTTGTAGCCACTGGTATAACATAATCGCATTCTGTGCCAACGGAAACACACAAATCCTAACTGTATACTGAATCTAATTATTCATTAAAAATGGAATTGTTTAATTAATAATTAGGTTGTTCGTGACAACTGTTCCTCTTGCCAACAGCAAACAAAAAAGAGGGAGACAACGTAGAAGGTGGATAGACCACATTAAAGAAACAGCATGGCAGAGAGTGGCACAGTGTTGAGAGGTATGGCGGGATTTGGAGAAGGCCTTGGCTAAAAAAGGGCACACAGATTCACTAAAAATAAAATGGAAATGTATCTGAATAAAGGTTATTATTATTATTCATGACAACTAAATTAGTCTAATTTATAAAGTTAGTAATAATGTTTGAACAGTGTAATTAAATCTTAAATCTATTAAAAAAAATATAAAAATAATGCCTTGAATCGATTAATCTTAATCGATTTTGCCACAAAAACGACCGAAATCGTTAATTTCGTTAAAGACCTTGAGCTTTAATCCGACTCGAAGTGAAAGTTGTGAATTAATCATGATTTTGTTCTTGAATCAGAACAATGCGTTTGGGCAATTATGATAGGTCATGGAGTCGAATTTATTGCTTTTTATGTTTTGGCAAGTGGGCGTAAATGTTAGTGAACTGAAATGTGAAATTTTTCTTTAAGAAAAATATTACACAATAAAAAAGGGTGTCGCGTTAATTTAACGTTTAAATTCAAAATTCAGGTAACACAATGTACACTTATGAACGTCAATAAAGAAATACATATTAAACGCTTCTAATTTTACATTTACTGCCAGTTCTTAAATCAAGGGCGTAGAACGGACGAGAAAAACTGGTAATACACTCTCCGCCACACTTTTTAATCTCCAAGTTTTTTGTTTTACAAAATGTTTGTAAGCTGCAACCATTACACCATGTTCCACATTACATCTTTAAGTAATTAATAGTAAAATAAAAAACAAAGATTTTTTTTAATAAAACACTATTTTGACCGGATTGAAGTTATGTATTATTATAAATTTACAACTATTTAACATAATTTTAAATTTATCCGACGTTTCGCGAGCTTTACAGCGTGCGTGGTCACGGTGTGTTTTATTAAATGAATAAAAGTTATGTTAATCAAAGACAATACTAAAGATTTTTTTCTTTATCAGTAGCAGGTAATTTATATCTGTAAAAGAAGTTTTTAATTCACACATAGTTCTGAACACACTATTTATATAGGAACCCACTGTACAAATTTGGCGGTCTCAGTTCAACCTTGCTCCACTAAAATCTTGCTCAACTTGGTGGGAAAACGTTCATCATTATGATATTCGGTGTAATTATAATGACACTGACAAATGAGTATTAAGTGTCATCTCTATAGGGCATAGCGTTCACAAGTAATGTAAATTATCTTGTTATATACGAGTTTTGTATTGGTTCAAGAAACATGACTTCATAATTTATCATAGACGCAACAAAGATGCTTGGGAGAGTTTGGGACAACTTTTACAACTCTTTGAATCGTCTCAGAAACGGAATGTAGGAAAAAAGTATTAATACATTTTTATGATCTAGAACTTACCGTTTTGCTGATAATCGCGTTATTGAGTAATTTTAAGCTATTGTATAGATTCTATCGCGGGCCTCGAGCGTGGAGACCGAATCCAAAAATGTAACGAAAATACCTTACGCGTTAGAGCGGGACAGAACGCATACTGCGTATTTACATCTCTCTGACGAGATCGGTGCAGCCGGTGCGCGTTAGAGTGAGACAGACTATATAGGCGAGTAGTCTGAGTCTGGTAGAGTGGTAGATTGAATTAATTTATCAAAGAAAAAACTTGAATTAATATCAAAGAAAAAAATACTGTATATGAAAGTTGAAAAAAAAAATGCAATAGCTTTACCTCGGCAGTCCCCGAGGGCCACACGTCTCTTTTTTGTACATATTAATGATGGGGAACTTAACAATTTTATTCAAAGTTATGTTTGGAACAATTTTACTGATGCTTGTGATTTTATACACCTTCGGATGTCTAGATTGACCGGAATATAGTCCCGTATTGGTATATATACCAATTACCAATGTTGGTAATACACCAACACCAACAACACCAAGAAATTTGCAATATTGCTGAGAGATAAATTAAAAATATACCGAAATTGAATTCAAAAACGTTTGAATCACCTGTCTGACAGACTTCATATTTAAATATGTCTTCAGATATAACGTTCAAAGACACTAAATGGGAAATGTTTAAGCTTACAATCCATTGTAGGGAATGACTAAACCGAGTGAGTAAGTAAAGAACCATACCAAAGTTAAAAAAATTCTTCTATAATCCTAAAGGGGCCATTCAAGTATTGCGTAAGCGGATTTACTGCAATTTATCCCCCTCCTCTTGTCAGTAAAAGTAAGCATAGCTCTCAAAAATAATAGTAGATACATAAACGTATTAAGTTTTTGTAGGAATCTATAATGAATTTCGTTTTCAAGCATAGACAATGTGTGTATTGTGTAAAAAAGTAAATAATTACTGTTGACGTAATGACCAAATAAGATAATCAACCCCCCCCATATTGCTTACGTAATACTTGAACGGCCCCAAAACAATAAACCAACCAACTAAATCACGAATTCAGAAAAGCGTATACCGTCATGTATAGTAGAGATAGACTCTCAGACCAGAAGGCTCGCAAATATGTTTCGTTAAGTATTGGTACGCTCTGATCTTGCTATTATTTTACTTCTATATTTCAAGTAGCTACAAATTGCGGGCGCCATTTTATGTTCTTTGAAAAATTTCTATGGCAACAATACCTTTTACATATTCTACGTCAGAATCCATTTAGGGTATTAGGAGAGTCGATTGTTCTCCATTGTGTTCAACGAACATTGTTCAAGGGGTCATTGTGTAGATTCCTTCGTTATATACAAAAATAGATATATCTCTGACGCAAATTGTCGTTGTAAATTTGATGTGTTGACTTATTTCTTAAATAATCCATACATTCAACATTGATATGAACAGGGGGTGTCAACGAAAGACTGTTGTAAAGTAATGCTTATCTCTTGATTTGTTTAATCTGTGGTCTATGTAGCCCAATAATAATCTGTGGTTTTTTATTCTGTGTGTGTTTCTTAGCTGCCTTGCGCTGTTTAATATGTTAATAAATGTATTGTGATAGTTAATTAATTGTTGTAGATGAAGATAAATAAATGAATATATATATATATATATATATATATATATATATATATATATAGATAGATCACAGATAGATGAAATGTTTGATTTTATTGGTCAACAGCTCCTAATTACGTCTGTTGTATACGTTTGGGTGGCGCTCTGGATGGATGCGCTTACCTTTTTACGACTTTTAATAAGAACGTAGACAATAGTTTTAATACATAATACTAAATTTGGCAGAAAAAACACGACACTTTTGTCCTAATTAATACTTTCAGTCCAATGTATAATATATTCTCAATGCTAATCAATATACTATGTTGCTTCCTTATTATATGTAATTGTTCAGAACAATTTACAACTTTATACGGTATATAAGATAATGAAGGTTCCTTTGTTAAATAAAAAGGAAGATGTGAATTGATAAAGGTGAATATCTTTTAACTATGCCGGTGCGGATATTGACTCAGGCCAAACATTAGTACTACTGTGATAATTTCTTGATATTCACCGTTATTTTTCGTCTCACCACTGGAACAATTAGCTTCAAAGACAAAGTGCCAACTCTTTTACTCAAAAACAAAGACTTCAAACTGTCAATGTTTAATTAGTTTATTTGATATATATAATACTAGTGGACCCCACAGACGTTGTCCTGCATGATATTTAAAGCGATTAGGATATTAAGCAAAGTATGAAAGTACCGACTGCAGTGCCATCTGCCGGGCTGATTTGTGAATCTAAACCATTCCCAGATCCCCTTGAACACACACAAAAAATTTCATCAAAATCGGTCCAGTCGTTTGAGAGAAGTTCTGTGACATACACACTCACAGAAGAATTATATATATATATGTATCAATGGCGCTACAACTTTTTTAGTTCGGGCCTCAGATTTCTGTATCTATTTCATGATCATTTGTCTATCTAATAGGCCAGTAGGTGGTCAGCCTCCTGTGCCTGACTCACGTCAACTTTTTGGGTCTAAGACATTTCCTCACGATGTTTTCCTTCACTGTTCGAGCGAATGTTAAATGCTCACATAGACAGAAAGTCCATTGGTGTGAAGCCGGGCATCGAACCTAGGACCTCTAGGATGAGAGTCGCACGCTAAAGCCACTAGGCCACCTGCTCTATTATAATCATAATTCCCATTAAAAGTAATAGCAACTTACCTACATGATTTATTCAAAACTGAAGACGTTATGATTGCGTGTTTAGCGTACTTAAGTAGCTATTGAGAGGTACCCGATCGGAGACTATATCAAAGCGAACTCTTCGTCAAGTGTTGTTGTGGAAATTGCTACAAACTTAATTAAGTATGAGATTCGCCCGCTGAAGCCACTAAGCCAACACTGCTGCTTTAATTTAATTAATTCACTTTAATTTAAATCGTAAGCGAATCATAATTTTGATATTAAGATGTCAGATGATTGAATTGTAAAACACTTCTATTGTTAAAGAAATTGCAGTTACTGACAGACATAAGAAATTAGCTATCAATCGAAAGTTCATTTTGTTCGGATGCGTTCATATTGTTCGTCAAAATAAATCTTCAGTATTGTGATGAAACTAAGTTTAAAAATAAACTAAACCTAATAAAAACTATTTACATGAATTTTTATCTGACAATATAAATACCATGACAACTTTGAAAAACACGATGGACCGAACAGTAATCACAAACCCTAGTCTAAGGTCTCTGCGATATTCAGATATGGAGATCGTCAGAGTAACGGAGTCAGTAATCTGCATCACCGGGGTTGGCAGTAGCACGACGTTCAGCAGTGATCAAGCGGTCGGAGGTGGAGGTGGGTCAACCATGAGTTCGTACCTCGGCAGTTGGATGTAACCCATGGACGCAATTAGTACTTGCTCATTAAGGATACTGGCTATAAGATCCACTCTCCTTAATTTACCAAGAAAACAGAGCAGGAGTTGGGCAACTGATTTTTATTTGGGTCGAGAATATCAAAAATCCAGGAGGTTACAATAAATTATTATGCTTTTGTTTTTTTTATAGAACAGGGGGCAAATGGGTGGAGGCTCACCTAATGTTAAGTGATATGGCCATGGACAGTATCAATGCCAGAGGGCTCGCAAGTGCCTTTACGCTGTTTTCTCGAAGGAGCCTAAGTCGAATTGGTGTTTTAGTATGGTAAGCGGTAAAAATATGTTGTTTCATTATGAATCTTGAATCATATCAAGTTTAGGCATTATAGGCCGTTTGCTATCACGGGCCATTGTCTATTTCATAAACATCTTTTTGTCACGACAGGCTCATGTGCAGAGGATGTTTCAGCTGGTGGCTAAACAACGTGCAGAAATCCTCGGAACAGTAAGGCCGCTCCGTGAAGCCTGTGAAGCCCAGGAGACTTCTGTGCTTCTGGAAGGAACTAGGCTGGCTAAATTAGCCAGGACTCTTACGCACCACGGACCAATTAGGAGTCTCAGTGCTGAAACTGAGTCCACCTACCTAATTCCTAATACCTAATATAAGCCATTTGCTTAATTGAGTAGTCCTTTGTGTCACTATGATATACTTTTTAAACTTACGACAAGTGTAAGACTTATAAATCATCCGACATCGAGGCAGGATACGAAATTCCACCCGTATCACCCCGACGACGTTCCACAACTGAGCGCTTTTATGGCAGTTGTTGCCGTGCAACCAGCTGTTCTCTGAATTTTTTCCGAACCAATTCGACTTAGGGTCTTTCAAGAATACGTACCAATTTTTAAAAATCCGACAGCGCACTTGCGAGCCTTCTGGCAATATCACTTAACAGATCAGCCTCTAACCCGTTTGTTACATTAAAAAAATTACTTTTAATTCATATTCTATTATAACAGATTGTCAAATTCATATTCTTAAATAAGATTTTAGACTGTTTTCGTTCACTTATAAATGACACTACTACATGTACTTTTTCTTCTTTCTGTCACATAGTATATATTTTTTTAGTGAATACATTATTTTAACTTAATAATTGTATGCGGATACATGTGGGACATAAAATTAATCAACCCGCATAGCATTGTCAAGGAAATATAAATGTAATTACTTTTTGTTAGTGTTGCAATGTGCAATGATATTATTACCATCATATTTATGTTTTATGGTATAGGATAATTCAGACATAAAATCTTCATATGAAGCAACGTTCCGTTTTAGTTTTTTAAGTATTTATAAGACTTTAAAAAAAATCAATGGCACTACAACCTTTTTAGGTCTGGACCTCAGATGTCTGTATCTGTAATCATTTGGTAATCTAATAGGCAAGTAGGTGATCAGCCTTCTGTGCCTGACACACGCCGTCGACTTTTTGGGTCTAAGGCAAGCCGGTTTCCTCACGATGTTTTCCTTCACCGTTCGAGCGAATGTTAAATGCGCACATAAAAAGTCCATTGGTGCACAGCCGGGGATCGAACCTACGACCTCAGGGATGAGAGTCGCACGCTGAAGCCACTAGACCAACACTACTCAGAGTAGGGTAATACTTAATAAGTCTAATATTTACATCCGGGAATCGATTCTTGACATGGGGTCTTGAAATCATTTTCTTAATTGAAAAAGCTTGGCAACGCTCGGCACACTGATACATTGGTAAAAGAGCCACGAGTGACAAGCCAATTTTTAATGTGACAAGCAGCAATAGGCAAACATGACATGCAAGAAAAGATAATAGAAATATTAAACAATTGAACAATTAAAATCGAATGCTTATTACTGCCCAGTTCTGATCGGGAATTTTTATGAACAACTGGTTTTCTCTGGGATAGAAGTATTGTGAGCATTAAATAGATGGTGCTTGTACTTACTGCCCATGAGCATGCCTGAGTAACGCTTAATCGACTTAAGAGAATGGTTGTAGAATGAATCCTTTTGAAATTATACAGGTTAATTAATTTCAATTATTTTGGATTTTAGCTAAGATATGATTGATAGTAATAAAAATAGTATATTTTTGACTATCATACAAACATATATTTAGTGCCAGGGACTATATAATAGTTAATATAGTACCTAGCACTAAAACTCTTTATTTATAATATTTTAATTAGCAGTACTCGACTGTATTTCAATCAATAAAGTTAATAGTTTTTGTTAAGAAAATGTTATCTTTAGAAGGGATTTTCCTTATATATTTCTTATTATGGTATATAAGCTAAAGGCTAAAGTTCTCACATTGTGTACAATGCTTTATTTCATTGTGTGCCTGAGCTATTTATTAACAATAGAAAGTGGTTATGCAAGTCAGTACATTTTGACTTTAATTTCATAATCTCATTTCCTGTTCTAATTTTGTTTTTATGTAATGAAGAGGTACACAGTTAGGCATGCGATTCTCAACCCTGAGGGTAAGATATAGTTGATACCAGCTGCACAAGCCAGTGCCTCTTATTCTCTTCTTGATCTTCTTACAAGTCTACAAGAATTAAACTTAATAATATTTAATGTAATATCTAATAAATAAAAAAAGCTTCAATCAATACTGTTCAATTAGTAACAACCCTTTCACTATGTTAAGGGTCTCAATCAAAGTACTATTATAAGGGCCTTAAAGCCGTAATATTTTCATATTATATCATACAAATAAATAAAATAAAAATAAAATATGTTTATTATGGAATATAAGATTCAGGTATCACTACCACGTCATTCAATTTGTATCGGTAGACATCCCTACTCATCACCAAAGAAGATAGAGGGTGTAGGCCGAGAGAACAAGCCGGCGTACCTCTCGGTACTCTTTTAAATTTATATGACCCTTTATACTTAAATGAGGAATCGTAGATCTTCACTTAAAAGCTTTGATGAGTTAATACTAAGTTAAGGTTCAATTTGGAATCCCTCAAATTCCTTAAATATTTTTAGGCCATTGTTGTTGAAATTATTGTTTGAAATTGGGAAGCGTGGCCATTCACCAACCAGATGGACCGATCAAGTGAGGGACTCATCGCTCTCAAAACTATACACTGTCGTAAGAGACGCGCTGGACCGAAACCGGAGGAAGAGAATAGTTCGCTTTCTTGCTGACCACGAAGATCAGAGATGAGCAGCCGATTAAAGAGAGAGAATTTTTTTTTTACGGGGAAACGGGCAAGAGGCTTATCTGATGATAATGCTCAATGCCAGAGCGCTCCGAGTGGATTTCCGGTCCTAAATCGAATTGGTTGGAATTCGAAATTCAAACAACGTTTGAAAATATTAAATAATCTAAATGATCGTAGTCTAAATTCAGTTTTAAAAATATTCTTGTTAAATTGTTAACTGTTACATTAAACGAAAGTGTTTTTTTAAATTATATAAGCATTACATAAACAAGTTAATGTATTAAAAGTAGGTTATACAATATAGTATTGATGCATGCATATTATATTTTTTATCTTAGAGTTTTTTTGTTATATGTTAGAGGAGGCAAACGGGGGGGGGGTTCTTGCCCCGGGCTTTTGTAAATCTCTTTTTTCCCCCCCCCCCGGGGTTTTTGTCGGGGGGGGGCTTCCCCTCTTTTTTGGTGGGTTAGATTTGGCATTCCAAATCAATAAAAGACGCTCGACATGAGAGCGAGGCTCACCTGATGTTAAAAGTGATACGCCGCCCATGGACACTCACACTGCCAGACTTGCAAGTGCGCTGCCGGCCTTTTAAGAATTGGTACGCTCTTGAAGGACCCTAAGTCGAATTGGTTCTGAAATACTTTAGTGGGCTGCTGGTTCCATATATAGTGCGCGGCAAAAACGGCCTTAAGCTCAGTTTTTGAACGACGGACTCAAGGAGTATTTTGTATCTGGACGTCATGATGAAAGTCGCTACGGTATAGGTTTTACTAATCTTCTGACGTCCGATGATGATACTAACAGTGTTATAATATGCCAAACATAGGCACCAAACCAAATTAGACGTTTGCCAAAGTTTGGAACACGAAAATCGAAAGTGGACACGTTCTGGACACACCGTTAGGGAAGAGGAGAAATGGAGTCAAATGTTTACTCTTCAATGAGACATAATTCTGTACCTATTCCAATAAAAATAAAGCACTAGACAATTTCCTTCCTTTCCTTTTTTAAAGATGAAGGGTAGATCTAGTTCCTAGGAATCAAACCTTCATCTTGTCACCGAAAGCTCACGCTATACTGTGATCATTTATGACACGAAGGTATCTCGAATATAGAAAATAATTAAAGATTTAAGTTGGCGCCTGATCGCCTGGCGGTAGTATCGGTGACCGAAGAGCTGGTGCTTTCCTCGCTCAACTTTCAATTAGGCATTAAGGCACTTTTGAAAGTCAAAATTACATGTTATAAATATATAAAAAAATTGACTAGTTGCCCCTTTCCAAAGGTAGTTTCATATGGAGAAGCATGGGCAAGAAACTCTATACTTAGTACTTACTCTTTTCAAATAGTTTTTACAGTATTTAGTATATATAAAATAGGATTATGGTTGTACATTATTCTTTATAAAAAAATACGAGCATATATATCCAAAAACAGGTGCTATTACAAAATACAACACTAGCTGTCCTACTTAGTACATAATTTAATACATAATATCGATAACAGGTAATTAAAGTGTACTACTTATAAGTAGTACATCACTTCCACTGTTGACAGATCACTTTCGTTTTCATGCGCTTGCGCCGTGACGTCACTTATCAGTTGTATAATTGCGCGGGAACCGGTTTAATGTTATATTGTTTTTTGTGTTTTGAGGTTATGTTATGTAAACCTTTTGGGAACTATTTTGTTATTTAATTAGACAAAATAATTGTTTTCTTTTTTATTAGCTTTTTATTATTATTATGACTATTAGTAATCTAATCTGCGTTATGCTACCTCCATGGCTCAGTAGATAGACGTGGTTCTAGGTGCGATTCCTGGGGAAACAAAAATTGTTTTGGGCACAGATATCTGCCACTTGATTATTTCTTTATAGACTAGTTAGTTATAGACTTCCTGCACTGTGCAAATATGTTAATTGCGCTTACTAATACATATATCACTGGATTTTAAATCGCCAATCCAGCCAATCTTATCAAAGGAATTTTGTCTATATTATATTATCTAAATCTAATCTAAAATTACGAAGGTAATATTAATGTAATAAGTTTATTGAGTTACCTTGCATACATAATCAAAATTTATTGATAAATTGTCATTGTTATTGGCATATACCATTCGACCTTTCAACACGAACACCGGATCTTATTAGACAATTAACTTTTAGCCTTAATTTCGCAGAATTAAAGGAATGTGTGGCAGGAAATTGGTTTCCTTTTGAGGAAGGCTGACTTGAGTAATATTCTAATATTTATGTATTGGCAGGTTGATGTTTGAATTTGGAACGTTTGGTTATTTGTTTTAGAGAAACACAATTCTCTATTGGTATGTAATTTGAATTAAGAATTTTGTTTGGGGTGTTTGTACCATAATACAGTTTATCAGATATTCAAATGTGGAACCTGAGACGTGAGTGGATGAAGGTGATAAGTGCATTTTTTATATTTTGAGAAAATTGAAGTTAAAGTTTTGCTACAATTTTCTTTTGTAAGTCGCTTAAATATTAGTTATGCCGTGAATTTGAATGCAAAGTAGTTGAATGATCCTAAATATTGAGGATACGTTGATAATAAAACTCTTGCGATATTATTCGATATTATATTTAAAAAAACTTAACATAATCTTCTTCATATAACAACTATTTGTCCTTACGCTATATAAAATTAGGTCTAAGTACATTAATAATTTATTTTTTTAATACACAGAACCAGCCTCTTCAACTTAAGCTTTATATTACTATATCACACTTGTGATCATCTATATATAAAAAGTACTATCCTTGGCTTAAAATTGACTCAAAAAATAGCGATATTCTGGCTTCACGTACTTTAGTTGGTCTCGGAGATTCTGTTTTTTTCTACTGAAACAGTACCATACTTACCAGTCACACTGATTCTAAATTCGCGGACACCTTCGATTTCTTTTTTAATATGTCCACCTTTTTAAACGGTGTCATTTCATCGTACGATTCTTTGTATAGATAAGATCCATACTCCTCAACTCGAATCCATTGATACCATCCCTAAAACTGATTTTTCTATTGCTACATCTTTTTCCTATTTTTAAATTGAGATTATCTTTAGCTCACCAATTTTTCGGAAATGTTCTGTCATATTAATCACTGTATTATTACGAGAAGCTTTGCAAATGATATCACGGTACTGGTCAGGAACGAAAACTGTGTCATGCTTTCTGAGGACTTTTTCTATTCTACCAAAAACCAATCATTATAAGAATGGCCAACTTCAGGAAACTTGTGATCGATTACTTTGAAATATCCTTTAAGGATAAGATATTGATAAAGTGAAATCATGGTGAAATTTTTGTTTTGGCCGGCACATGAATCTGACCAAATTAATAGGTGTTCTTTGTTTTGGCAACTGATCTATTTCCACAAATCTTAGAAGTGCGCTCCAACTTCGGCACTTCCCGGTCCCAAATTTCAGTCCATGACAAATACGGCTTTTTCTTTGCTTCCATCACAAACATAATACCCAGGTTGTAAAACCACAGTTGACGCAAGTAGAATGCTTTTGATGTTGTTAGTTTTGGTAATGGCATGGTTTGTTGTAAATCCATTGTAACGTACACAATATCGCCATCTCGAGTTGGTTTTCTACGGTCAACTTGCATAGCTTCAACAGCAGCATAATAATTGGACTTATGTTCGTCATTTAAGTCTCCAGCATCGCACGTAGCGCACGTATCACTCTTTGGGTATCCAAACGACAGGTTGAATTGTGTGACAAAAATTTGGTTATATGAAGTTTTCTTGATACGGTATTTGTCTGGTAGGTCCTCATTTGAATATTCCTAAGTATAGACTGTGCATCTTGGTCACATTCAGTAGCGGTGATAAATAGAGCTTGTTCATATTTTTTTCATTGTTCAGCAGGAAAACTAGAAATATGTTCTTTTATACGGTTAACAACGTCATCGTCCATTTTGTGAGGACGATTCTGATGTCTTCCTCTCTGATCTGGTTTTGGAGCTGCAAGTCCTTCCTTGATTCCTTTTATAATGAGATCAATTTTTTTGCGACCTATCTGATAAATTCCGCAAAACCTAACTTGCATATTTTTGTCGTAATTCCATTCTTTTTACGTAGTACTTGAAGGACCAGATTTATGCTTTCTAGCATTACAGCGTTTATTCGCTACAGGCTACTCTCAATGCTGCTGAATAATAGGGCATTCTTACTATTGGTGTCCAGAATAATAGCTGTTTAAAATAGACTGCCGATCATCAATGGAAAAATTATCTGAGCATTTAAGCCTGCACTTCTCTGACACAAAATCCTACCTTAATCTTTTTTCGGTATTATTCTCCTTTGTAAGATACATATTCCTCTCCTTTTGCTCTAGCTATTGCTGCATAATTTTTCTTCCAAGATTGTTCATTCCTCGCCGTTTTTTTTATTTATTTTCTTTTGGTGGAAATACTTTGCGCTTTTTTGGCATAATATTTTCTTCCAAATCCTTATTTGCATGCTGTTCACTAGTGGAGAAAATAATGGGGTTTTCCTGCCGATCAGCATATTCATTGTCAGATTCATGCTCATCAACGCCACAAGAGCTAGTGCTATCGGGGCTTTCAGGAATGTAAGTGTTATCACTACCGGAAGAAAAATCTTCATTTCTATTCTGCAATGGAGATACATCCTCCAAGACTGTGTATGACTTTTTGTTTCGAAAAGAAAGTCCAAAATAATCTATATCTTCCTCTAGGGAATTCTCTATTACATCTGAAATTTCATCATCTACAGGGACAGGAACTTTCGCAAGGCTGCCAATATAATTTGTGCCTTGACCGCTAGTGGATGGTTCAGCGATTACGTAACTTCATGCATCTCAAGATTACACCAGGGTCCAGATTATCTACAAAATCAAAGCCATAAGCATAGAAGAAGGCATGCGATCAAATAGTAAAAAAAAAATGTTAGTAAACACCGATCAGGTACAAGTCCAAACCGTCCACCCAAAAATTTAAATATTGACATCGGTTTTTCCTCCTGCCATAAAATGTTTTTCGTTTATTAACCTTATCCCTAACACATCTTATTTTGACACCTTTACAACTATGAGTACAAAACAAAACATTATTACGAGAATGAACACTAAAAAAAAAAAAATATCATAGCGGTCAGTGTAGCCCCATCACCTCTTTTTTTTTATTTTTTTTTATGGCCCGCACGGTTTGTGCATTGTGGCCCAGGGTCAAAAACAGGGAAACGGGTAAAAACATAAAATTATCGGCTGGAAAGGAATTTAGGAATAGAAAATAATTAATCTATAAAATAAAAGATCAATTCTTATAAATCTACATACAAAAGGAGTGTAAGAAAACATATTTACATATATTTACGTTCATATTGTCTAAATTTTTATATTATTACTTAAGATAAAAGCTGCTTAAAGTTTATAATATACATGTGGGTTGTAAAGATGAAAGTAAACTTGATATGGATGAAGGGAAAGGAATTTGAAGGGAAATGAGACGAAGAGAAGTTCGAGAAGAGCCGACCGGTCGCGCCGAGGACAAACAAACATTATGTGATTTAAATCACCTACATCGCATTAAATTTTGACGTAAAAAATTTACATTAGGACGAGAAAAATAAATATACACTATACAAATTTTATTTACAAAAGCAGCAATTACTGATAAGTCATCTCCGAATGAGGGAAGTGGAAATAAGGAATAGGGGAGATCATTTTTAATGACTATGGCAACACTACCATAGCCGTCAGGTCTGTCCTGTCGGAGAATAACATACCTAACCTAACCTGGAATTCGAAAAGTCAATTCCGGGCGAACTCACGAAGCCATGTTTCCGACAGAGTTGAGACAAATGGTTCAAATTTATTATGCAAATGGATTAAATTATTTTCACCCCCATATCCCTCTCCATTTTTTCGCCTGACTCCAGGCCTTGAGGAAAAAGTATACAAACTTACCAGATACTGTAGAATATTACACAAATATAAACTAAACTTTAAATTAAATTACTACATACAAATATATACAAACTGATCTTTTATACAAGTTAAATTAAATTAAAAAATTTCACAACAAAAAACACTCCCGCCACAAGCAACGTTTCCCGCGCTTTTTTTCCATCACCTCTTGAAGAAATGAAGTGTGGCACATTATAACCTTCAGTTGAGCAGAAAAGTTCACAATAGTGTAGATACTGTGATTGAAACAATGCAAGCAAATCAAAAATTAGTAAAGATCTAACCTGCTATATTTTTGAGGTAATGATTATTGTATACATCGTTGTTTTGAGCTATTTCGTTTACACGGCCACTTAAAGCAGCGTTCACCAACAATATTGCTCTTGCTTTGGCTCCTGCCATATTAATTTCGCTTTAGAAATGTCAATTATGTATTTTAAACAATATTTTACACAGTATCCAACAGACACAAATCAACAATAACAGAAAGCGCGCGAAACTACAACGAACGAACGTAATCAACACATTTGAACCTCTTGAGTGAATGAAGGTGTTATGTTAGCGACTTAACACCTTCATTCACGGAGAATAGGGTCGTTTTATTCGAATATAGTAAGCGCAGTGGTTATGTTCGTACATATCACCTTCTTCAACGCACAAAAAGTAAAGTTTTTATTTTGTTGATTTGAGAGAGGGTGATATGTGTACATACCTCTTTCATCGTCTGTAATTTTTAAAATAAACTAAACATAACACCTTTTTCAAAATTTTATTTCCAAAAATAAGCTTTATATCGACGGTTTTAAGGTTTGTAGTAATTCAATTATACATATCACCTTCATCCACACAAAAACACCAAAAACGAAAATACGACATATCACCTTCATCCACTCACGTCTTTAATTATAGAAGAATATTAAAAGAAGTCACGCGAATTAAGTATGAAATTTTGAATATCGAACTTTTAATAATAAAATTTTAATAACGATTTTGTTTGAAGAGTTGTAATAACATCATAGTTCACAGTACTAGTAACATAACATAACATAATAGACATGTTTATCAAATATTTAAACATGGAACGATAGGGTTTAATAGAGAAAATTAAAAAAAAGTCATGATTGTATTAAATTTTGAATATCGAACGAATGATTTATGAATTTTATTAATGGTACGCGTTCGAGAGAGTTAAGATTATTCGATATTTAAATTAAATTATAGTCTACGTATAGATTATAGATTTATTAAAGTTCTGTGGGCAGACATATTTAGTGTTTCATCAACTTTGATAGATTACTTTGAAAGATAATTCCTATTATACGTGACTCATTATTTAACTAAGCAAAACCACTTCGTCACATATAAACATAATTTGCATCTTTGAAATATGTAGATAATTATCCAGGAAGTGTCTGTTTCACAGAATATGTTTTTAACACAACAATAAAATTGTCACAAATAAATACGCTCTTTGTCAGTTTATGGCTATCGCACATTAGAGGTTGACTATTAAATGTCAAATTGATATTATTATCTTAAATACTTGAGAAAGAAAATAAACGATGACAATGCTATAAACAAATACTTCAGATTTCTGTATCTGATTCATGATCATTTATCAATCTAATAGGCAAGTAAGTGATCAGCCTCTTGTGCCTGACACATGCCGTCGACTATTTGGGTCTAAGGCAAGCCGGTTACCTCACGATGTTTTCCTTCACGAATGCGAATGTTAATTGCGCACATAGAAAGTGTGGTGTAAAGCCGGGGATCGAACCTACGACCTCAGGGATGAGAGTCGCACGCTGAAGCCACTAGGCCAACACTTCTCTATACCTGCCTATATTTACTTACAAAATATTTAAAAAGTTCCAATCGTGCAAGCGAGTGAACGCTCGCTCGAGGACAGGTCGCAACTTCTTAATATTATTATTGTTTTAATTTATTTAAATTTGAACACATTATGTATTTCAGTGGACCCAGGAGCTCACTCACTAACGCCAAACGAATTTGTATAAAAAAGGTCACGTGACCTAACCTCAGCTAATGTCATTTCCTCGAGTCCTAGTCCCAGGTATTATATTGTTCTTTACAAAACCACTTAGAGATTTTACGTACATATATTCCTAGTATTAAGTTTTAAATAATATTCGAAGGATCTTTCCGTTCTAACCTTCAGTGATGTCAACTATTTACCCATTGTAAATACAATTAAATTATAAAACGCATAACGACCTTGACACTATCGAAATAACAACGGAAGTGACAAACAAACAATAGACAATTTCCTGTTTCCGTGTCCACTTGTCAAAGTTGTCAATAACTTTCTTTCACTGTAGCTTGAGGCTAAAAGATACATACATTTCAAATAAAAGGTAAAGGCATCATTTTAATATAAATTAATCATAAGGATAATGGTCAAATATTATAAAAACTTGTATGGGTTCGTTGTGCCAATTGGAAACATAAAAATTTCATATTAAATAAAAAACCAAAACACCTTAAGATTCAGTCTACAAAAAGGAACCAACGATATAAAATATTAATCATTATCAACTGTGCGCATGCATGACTAACAAGTTGCGATTCTGTGCTATAATCTGTGTCAATAGGTAAAGGGCAAACCTTTTGATGCTAGCAAGAAAGCGCGGGCGTTTTTACCGCGCTTTGTATTGTGTCATGGCTGTCAACCATTGACAAATTCACTTTTCTCGTGACGAAGACAGATGCAGTTTTTAATGATTTTCTTGACATAGATAATTGAGGGTTTCATTGTTTATGACAGAAGTTGAATAGTTTATCTACCACAATATTTTTGTAGTTTTAGAAATATGAATTTCGTCCCATTTTTCTATTTCATATGAGTTAAAGAGATATAGGACAAATCATTTGACATTTATGTGATTTATATTTTGTTTCTTTATAAATTTAATGCTTTGTTAGCTTAGTCGGCATACAATTGTCAACGTACACAAAATATCAGTATTCCAAACAATTTGTACCCAAATAAAGGAATTTATTTCGGATCGGATTTTATTACGTGAACCGTTACGATTCAATGTTTAAATATGCTTGAAATTGAATATTTATTTTTTCAATTGTCGTGTTAATGGTGTGATTGCCGATATTTTTGGGCCAAATATCGATATTCTTACAATGTAAAAAACCGGAAGTCTTAACGGTTTGGATAAGGAATTCCATTCATAAGGTTCGTTTTTCAATTTAAGAGGATTATTTTTGTTTATTATCAATTTAGAACATTTGAATTCAAATTAGAATAGTTTATTGCATACTTTTCGTAATTTATAACATAAAAATTTAGTCAAACAAGATGTCATTTAACTCAAATATATTGTAAGACAACATTAAAACGTATTTTAAACTTAATATAGTTAATTTAAAACATAAAAGGTCGATATACTAATAACACTGAAGTGCTCATTCGTCTCGTTACACCAAATTCTATTTACTCTATGATTAAAAGACACAGATCACAGCACAAACAGATAGTTTTGTCTAGTTCGAATACGTTTCTGACAACGCAAATATGTTCTATATAATAGATATATTTAAGCAATATATTCTGGTTTTCACTGAACGAATTCTTTCCATAAATATATAGTTAATATTATTAAATGTTTGTTGAAAAAAATCTATTTATTTGAAATAACGGATAACTGAACTAATTGCATTTAACTCTGCGTTTCTTTATCTTTCGGCCGTATCGTGTGCACCTAGAGACAACTCTTCGTGTTTATATCCGGTAACTTTTAATTTAAATCTGTAGTACTCGCGTCAACTAACAGTCAGACTTTTTGGATAAGGGACTAATTAGACCTCCTTTATAAATTTAGTCTATACTCTACAAGGTAATTCGTACAATAAAACGAAGATTAATATGCTATCGTTCGATTAGGCGGGATAAATGGAGTGTGAAGACAGCTGTCAGTCACGCAACATTTGTGACATAACTGTCTTCCCGCTTCCGAGACTATTGCGTCAGATTTGTACATGGATATGGTATGTCGTATCAGTAGTTTAGTTCTTTTTATCTATCGTGTATCTGTTTCTTGTTACTGTAATACAAGAAAGATTGTAAAATGTTTCTGCCTATAGTATGAGGCTCTCTCCTTCGGGGCGTTTGATAAAAATCGTGATGTTATAACATTGATATATATAAATAAAAATTGTTGTAGAAGTCTTGAATTCTAGCTTGTAAATTTAAGATGCCTGCGTCCCTACCGCTACATTTAAATTATAGTTTTTCACTACGTAATTATGTAGATAGATAGTTTATTATTTTGAACAACTGTTTAATAGATTAGAAATCATATTACTTAGTCAAATTAGCCACCAATAAATCGATCCTGACTCAACATCGCATACGGACTCCCCTGTCTACATATTTCGACAGCGAATTGTATTTTATTTCGGCCATACAATGCGCAGAGGCCATGAGAACTTGGAGACACAAATCATGGTTGGTAAGAAGGCAAAAGATCACGTGGCGTGACCAACCAGATAGACCGATCAAGTGAAAGACTCATCGTCCTCAAAACTATACACTATCATAAGAGAGGCGCTAGACAGAAACAGGTGGAAACATTCTCCACTCCAGAAGTTTCCTTGCTGACCACGACGTTCAGACATGAGCTACCGACTGAAGAGAGAGAGAGTCAAATAAGCAAGAACAGTTTTTGAGGTTATTTCGAGTTCTTTTACATGGTGACAACTGGTTTAGTCAATACGATTGAATGAACGAAATAAAATCATTCATTCAATTGTAATTTTTAAATTAAGTATTCAAATGAATGCTATGTTAGTACAAGGAAAGTTGTTAGGTGAGCTTAAACAAGCTCATACAGGACGTCCTCGGTTGACGGTGAAAATATAATTACATACTACAATTACGTACAATTATATTTTAAATTACCATAAGGTGAAGGACCATAAGTCACTTTCGTTTATAGAAAATACCACTTTTAATTATTAGGAATACCTTGATATATTATTTATTTAAATAAATAAATAGTGACATACATAATTGATTGTTACATAAATAAGTTTGAAGTATTATAGCTTAGCGAATATGGGGTATACCATGGGTTTGATTCCTGAAACAACAATTATTTGTTTGGTAAGATACTTGCCTATAACTATGGGGGCATGTTGCTGCCCCCACCCTTATTTCAAATATATTCTGTTGATATTACTGTTTTTTATACAGGAGGCAAAGAGCCAGAAGGTTCGCAAGTGCACGAAATGTGTACGATCTTGTACAGAAGGACCCTAAGTCGAATATAATAACAAAAAAAAATGATATAAAGATGAATAAATAATGAGCCGTTTTGGCTATTTATAATTTTTAAATCATGTAACAAATGCTTTAGTCAAAACTATAT